CGAATATCAATAATAAAAAGCAACTCAACGATAGCAACTAAGATACATGCACAAAGCAACGTGAAGGTGTTTCTACAATATTTTAAGCTCTAAATAGTCCAGAGTCTATTTAAGGTGTACGTACATTATTAGAAACAATGACTGTATGGTTGTTAACCTTTGAAGCGTTATTTCTGACCTAATGTTATGTGGTATACATCGCCCTTGACCCAGTACACTCCAATATGTAGTTTCAATTGTGTTTAACGTACTCTGTAAAAATTTCCTCTGGTGAGTTTATGTGTACTAATACCCTTTGATAAACAATCAAAGATTTTTTATCTAAAATTGGATGTTTTAATTTATCTTTTTTCTTCTCCTGGAGCTGGGTTACTGTCTCATTTACATTTAACCCACAACTCCTGTTGTTCTTTTGTTTATTTCTAAAATATTATCGCATGAGTAAAAAAGCAAATATTGATTTAAACAAAATAACTCATATTAAAAAGCATATACTTTTTTTAAAATTCAAAAGTCAGATAGAAATGATGAAGCATGAGCAACTAGTTAAATCCTTATTAAAGTTGTTGCAATGCCTGGAGTCTAGCCTTTCTTGAACAAGTAGCGCTTTTTTGTTTTCAAGCATTTAAAAATCCATTGTGTGTACATTTAATTCGGCTGGTTTGTTTGAAAATCCAATAAACTCATAAACTACTGGCTAAATAAATCTCATAAGAACCTAACATTCCGTAGGCAGTTATGTTTATATAAGAGAAACGTATGATTCTATATTTTTCGAAATGCGATTGACGGAAAGTATCGGTACTCACTACTTACACCAACTTAGACAGGTAAAGTGAAGGGGATTGTCTTGAAATAAAAAAAAAAGCACTAAATAATTAGCATTTCAAGGTAAAAGTTGAAGATAACTGTAAAACAAGATTGTACACAGCGATTTATTTAATTTAATACAGATTGTTGTAGGTTCACAAGTCCTGCAGAGGTCTCCATAATTTGTCTGAACGTTTGTCTTGCGTGCCTCCATAAAGGTTTTATATTGATATAAACATAAAATGTGGTATATTGCCAATGAGACAGCAGTCCACCAGAGTTAAAATGAAATGGTTGTAAGCAATTGTCACATAACATCTTGTGCAAACGAGTTCTTGACAAGCGGCAGAATATCAAGCATGTTTTCATGGGTTTCGCCGGTTACAAGATAAACAAAAAAAATGTCTGTGCTTATTATATATGTTTATCGACCGTAGTTTTCTCAAAAGCTCAATAGATATTTGAAAAAAAAGTATATTCTAGTTTTGTTGAGCATTTTGATATACAGAATTAGATTGGAGAAGATAAGATATAACATAAATTTCCGGCTTAAATTATTATTAAACCCAACTTGGTCTATAGAAATGCTCTTTAGATGGTCCGCTACAAAAACTATGTCTGACAGCCCTATACACTTTTCAAAATGGCCATCGCAGCCTTTGAGCGGTCGACTTCTCGTCGATTTTTTATTATTCCGACAAATTTAGAAATATGGCCCCCAAGGCCTGTGATTGGTTGACTGATTTTTTTTTCGAACCAAACTTGAACAAAATTTACCTGGATTGTCATATCCCAAAATTGTTTCCGATTGTCCATAAAGGTTGTCTGAATCGCCCCTAAAGACCATAATTTGTTGGCACATTATTTAAAGTAATTTTTGTCAGCACAGATAATCTGCTACTACTCCTCCCATTCCCTCTGGTTATCTGACCTTCCCTCTATTTTAGCATCTGTGGGAGAGGGATTTTTTTCTATCAGAAAACGAGATTTTTGTATTTGTTCACAATCTATGGAATTGTAGTTGTAGAAAAACATCATTCAAAAGTAATTATCTGGCTTCATATACATGTGTTTTAGCTTGACGTCATATCTGATTGAAATGTTCTGTTACGTAATATCTGGACTCAAATTTTGCTGTTTTTTGTCGGCGGAGTGATAGTTTGCTCCATCCATGGGACTCTGGTTTTATTTACACGAAAATTCTCATGAATCAAGCACGCCATAAAGCTCACATTTGAGATGATCCTTTTCATTTTATCTGTCACAGTCGGTGTCAACAGTCGGTACCGAGACTTTCCGTAAATCTCTGATAGGAAATATCGTATCAACAGGGAGATATACTCCATATGCAGGTGCTGTTGGAATATTGCTACATACAAATGGTAATATGGGTATGCATACATTTATATAAATTTGACAGATGATTATACTTTTTAGTGGATTTGAGAAACTTAGTTTTTTTAACTTAAATCAGCAACGACGAAATTTTGTGGAATATTTTCTTGTGTAAAATACAGGTTCAACAATATCTAGAAATGATCCTTACCTTTGTCTGTTTAAAATATAATAAATTTCGAAAATTACTCACTAATGCATATCCAAATACAGTAAACTAGTAGTACACATATGTGCATGTGATTTCAAGAACCAAGTTATATGCCAATGTACTTGTATTTTCTCTAATTAATTAGCTGTTAATTTTGATATAGCAATGCATTTTTTGTCCCCAGAACAGATTTCTTTTAGGTAGAGTAAGCACATATTTACAGCTCCTAGTCTAATCCAATTGTTGGAATTTCCTTTCTTAGTTTCGAGGTGCATACTCTTCTCACGCAAACCCCATCCCGCTTAATGTCATAGCATAAATGACTTTCTATTAAATAAATTTCATACAATGGTTAAAAATATACATTGTGTCTTAAACACAAAGTTGTCTCATTTGCAATTATATGTGTACCACATCTCGGTCAACTAAACCACACATGAACACAGGACGCAAACAAAAAACGCACACTAAAATGTTTCTTGGCGCATTCTTTTGAACAGTATCAACTGTTCATTTTTGCTTGTGATTTGTGTATTGCTCTGTTTAAAGGTTTCATATTTTACAGTTATAGCTGTTTAATTTTTTTAACTATCTTTTTATATTTTATTTCATTATTAAGGTACACTTTAGAGGGTTCTTCAACATTATTACTGTGTTGATTGTATGATGTATTTGATTGCGTTATTTAGTTTATGCTTTATTTTGCGTCTGTTCTCTAATTAGGTGACAGTTTTGTCCCTTAAAAGAGTCTGTTTTACCAAAATAATCTTCCCAAGTAGGGTATTACACATCATTGGCCTTTAAGATGTTTGTGTTTGTGCGTTCCCGATGAAGGTACATAAAAAAAACCTACCAAACGCATGAAATAAATGAAGTGTTATTTTCCTTTACTAGCAATTGGTTGATACCACTGTTGGTGGACTGTTATTCCTAGAGGGTGTCATCAACTCATTGGTCAGGGCTTTGGTACTGGTATGATTTTGAACAATTTTCGTTTGATTAATCCAGACAGAAATTATTAAGTAAGTGAGGTTCAGACTGCCTCAGGCAAGGTTTGAACTTAGATGAATTTTGCTATTTCTTTTGGGTTCCTTTTGATCAGAATGTTTAGAATTTATACATTCTTGACTTTCCAATTTTGTTTTGTTTGAGTGTTCCTTATGAATGTAAATCCAGAAAAGAGCTTCGTACGCACGAAATTATCAAAGTGTAATTTTCATTTACTAGCACATCAACGAAATAAATACTGGTGGATTGTTTTGCACTGAAGGTATCATCAACTCAGCAGTCAGTGATTTGGTACTGGTTTGATGTTGAACATCTTGTTCTTCAACACTTCGTTTAGAAATGATGAAATTATTTAAAAAAAACATAGGTTCTAACTCCATCAAGCAAAGATGACCTCCGATTAATTTGGATGTTGTTGATGTTCCCTTTTGGTCATACAACTATTCACGTGTTTGAGTATTATACATCCTTGGACTTCAAATGTTTGGTTTGAAAAAATGAAAACAACACGTAATAAATTTCATGCGTCCGAAGCACTTTTCTGGATTTACCTTCATCAAAAACGCTAAAAGCCGAATATTTGAAAATTATGGATGTATAAGGACCGAAACAGGTAAGGAGCTATACAACCTAGTCATGATAAGCTGTTGCCATCGATATATGTATCTTCCGTGTGTACATTCCAACGTATAAAGCAAATTTTTAAATGCAAGCCAGCATTGTACGTAATACATTCGTTATACATTTTGTAATTTAAAAAAACGGTGGACTGTTGTTCCAATACAATACAAGAGATGCGAGAGATACCAAACTCATAAGTTGAAAACAAACTGACAATGTAAAATTACGAAAAACAAACAGTACACAACAAACAACATAGAAAACTAGCGACTGAGCAACACGAATCCCACTAAAAAACAAGGATTGATCTCAGATGCCTCAGTAGGGCAGGCAGATCCTGTCCCATAACAGAGGAAACACGTTCAATGTATTTCCTAGAGGAAAAAAGGTTTTCGTAATTGATGCGATAGGAAATATATTGATATACAGATAAACTTACATAATCACTAGCTTTAACATGTAAACTATGCAAATAATTCAAAGTCAATGAACCGTAATCGAGCTGGGAATGTTAAATAGTTTACAAGTATATAATATATATCAATGCTAATACAACTGCATACCAAATAACCACCGAATTACAATTAATACTTCCACTTAACCTTACCTCCTTTAACAAGTAACATATGCAAAATAGTTAAACTCAATGAACGATGAAGAGCGGTGTCAAACAATTCCAATAGAAACCGATATGTGTTTGTGATAATACACCTTATAACCAACTATCTCAATGACTTATAATTATAGTTGCTTCACTTACACTGACCTAATCACAAACTTTATGATGTTAAATATACAGAAGTTTTAACATCAATTATTCATGACTGAGGGGTGGTAACAAATAATCTCTAGATCAATGAGATAAACACATAGTACAACTGCATACCAAACATCATCCGCGTATCATAAGAGTTCTGTTTTGACCGACGTACATTATATCATAAACTAATACAATCGTTAACACTGGAAACAGTATAAACAAGAGTCGCTTCTGCGACTTCGTCAAAATTGAAAAGAGTTTTGCAAATATCTTTATTGGAGAAAATGTAAAGAAAACAAAAAAGTGCATCATTCTGTCACTTTTGCTTGGCTGTCCTTTGTTTTCATTCATGACCTACACAAATTAAATATATATATTACTTAAACCATATCTATGTAAAAAAAATATCAACAATATTTGTATATATATGGTTATATATATAAAGGACAATGATATATTGAGAAAAAACAAAAATCGAACTATGCTGAAAGCTTATCTTTGGCTCTTATGTATGATAACAAAACTCACATTTTGCACTTACCATACCGTTGGTCCCGAACATGCGTAAAACATATGTATCCAAAAAGTTGTGGCGCGCATCGATTTCAGCATCATACACAATAATGAGTAAATTTGCTGTAGATTTTTTGCAAAAACACAAAAAAGGATAATTATCTTATATCAAGGAATTCCCGGAATAAGTGAAATTACAATCTTGATTTGTTTACTTATAGATTTTTTTGTTTTAAATCATTTCTGCAAAAAACAGTTTCAGTACGCAATAATTGCTGTTTTTGACAAAAATGTGCGGAATTTTCGTTTTTTTTTTTTAATTTTGCAATATCTCAAAGTGTTTTTCCAAAAGATTTAAAAACAAATGGACCAACATCGTCCTTTTAGTTCATTTACTTTTACAACGAGTCAACAGATATTGTCGATTATGTTGATTTATTTTTGGATCGTGTCTGCCTTATATTGTTTCCTATTGTTATAGATTTTCCTGATCTAATATATTTTTTGCTTAAAATGCAAAAGGGATAGAGTCATCAATTAGGAAAATAGCTCCTATAAGTTGGGCATGTTTATATACAAAAAGTACTTTCGGTTTTATACAATGGTCGTACGTTTGAATGAAATAACTCGACAAATCAACGGAGAATGTTGTATAATATAAAAACTATTTGCTACTGCGTACTTTGAAAAACTCAGAATATAACTATTTAGGTAGAAGACATATCTTACCATATAGCTATGTACGAGATTTAAAAGCATTTCCACATGGCTCTTTTGCAAAAGTGACCACAACCGTTTGAACAACATAAACGTCCAGGACCACAGCCAGTTACCGGACATTGTTCTTCACAAACACCGAATCTTCCTGGATGTAGGGTTGGACACACCAATCTGCACTCTACAATAAAAGAAGCTGATTATTGTTTCTTCGATAGAACGCTAATTTAGCTCATCTCAAGTTCATAGTTCTTAAATTTTTACGTTAAATGATAAACTCATACAAATATTTGTTTTTGTTAACTGAACTTCGATCCACTTCTTGAGGTTATGTTCCAAATTTCATATGAAATGAACCCAAGAGTTGTAAGATCAGCCCACCCATAGTGACAACACTATTTTACACATTGTTCAAGTACTTCGTGCAAACGGTTATGTTTTCATAATTGATGATGTCAAATATATCAAAAGAATTTGATATTCTATATTGTTAATATAGATAATTAATAGCAATATGTTACAATCAATTATAACCCTATGATATTCATGAATAAAAATTATTGAAATTTTATAAATATTTTATCTTCATTATGCGAACTTCAGCTTTATTCCGTATAATTGATTTTCACTGCTTTCATTTCAAAAGACAATATCTGCCAAGGTCTTGTATTTATTTTTTTTATTTCGGATTTAAATGTTAATAACAAACATATCTTACTTCGAGTATCTGAATAAACGACATAAAAGCAAGTGACGATCACATTTTACGCGATAAACTCTTCCGCCCGACATGCAAGATACAAAGCTTACTTTCTTTAGTTTCTTTATAAGTTAAAAGATAATTCAATTCTTTAATGATAGTGAATTATTTGAGAACAAATGAAATTATTCAGATGTGATTTTAGTGGAAATAGGTAGGGGAAAATTATTTTTTAAGTCCAAGCAAAAATATCAAGTTTTCTCAATACTCATAAATCTATTTCGTATTTGTAAACAGGTATGCGTATGCGACATTCTTTCATTAAATATATGTGTTTTACAATACTTTTGTCCTTGAGGTAAAAATTCGTCCTCTATCTAGAAATTTAGTCATTTTCATTTTGACTTTCTTTAGAATGATAAATGTTGATAAACATGTGTGAATTTGGAGTACCACTATCGGCATTCTTATGGGAACCAATTGCGCACCTCTGCATACCGATCTTTTCTTATTTTCATATGGGTCGGAGTTTCTTCAGATACTTGTTATAAAGAAAAAGATCAAAGAAACTAGATTACTTAATTTCACATACAGGTATATTGATGATGTTTTTTCCATTAGCAGTCCAATCTTTTCTGATTCGATCCCATTTATATATCCTACTGAACTATAGATAAAAGAAGCCACAGCTTCCTCTGCATCAATTCTAGACATTTACCTAGAATTTGACAACCACGAGCATCTCAGTACCAGAATCTATGACAAACGATACGATTTCAACTTAGGAATGATAATTTTTCCTCACCTTAGCAGCAATATACCAACCTAACTCACGTATTGAGTATACATTCCTCAACTCATACGATATTCAAGAGCTTGCAGCTGCTACTCAGACTTTGTAAAACGTTAACGGTGTCTCAGCTAACACTTAATGAGCCAGGGAGTTTTCAAAGAACGTCTCGTCCTCTTTCTCTTTCATCGGAAAATAGCAAGACCCATTAGATAAATATTCAGTGTCTACTTCACAAATAATACAAGATGGTATTGAGTTATAGATTCTAGATCTGGTGTTTAAGTTGTGTATCTTTTTATTTTACTTTAAGTTCCCCATTACACGTATTTGTCTTCGCGCAATTATGTTTCTTTTCGTCGTATGACTTTTGACGTGACTCAGTGTTAATACATCACGCTATCGGTTTTTTGACTTTTTAACTTTTAGGCATTCCTGGTGAAGTAGGGTCCTGGGATGCGATTGGGGCATATGGTTTTTACAGTTTTATTTTATTTACCATTGCATTTATGTTTACCTATTTTTAATTTATTGAGAAAGAGTATATGCTATATACCATATGTACAATCAACGACAACATTTGTTTTGACGTCATTGTCAAATTCGAAATTTACCATCTACGACACCTTTTTTGTTGGCGTCTTTGGTGGCTTAATTTGTATGTTTGGTTGAATTTGTTAGTCGGTTATGATGTATGTTTACACAGTTTTGACTGCTGGATCCTATTTATTGTCACCTTAACCTTTCATGTATGTTTGTGTCGCTAAACCAATTTTGTCCATATAACGAAACCATAAACAGTCTCACATATGGGAGGTTAAGCTAGCTATACAACCCGATTTAACTCTATATTTTCTTAGGAAAATGCCTATACAAAGTCAGGAATATGGCAGTTGTTTTTCACTTATTCCGTTGATTGACATCGTTTGATTTTGTCGGTTTTTCGTGGACTTCTCCTCTTAGGGTTTGCCTTGAAGTGAGGTATTATTGTTATAAAATTGAGAAACGAAATGGAGAATGTGTCAAAGAGACAACAACCCGACCGTAGAGCAGACAACAGCCGAAGGCCACCAATGGGTCTTCAATGCAGCAAGAAACTCCCGCACCCGAAGGCGTCCTTCAGCTGGCCCCTAAACAAATATGTATACTAGTTCAGTGATAATGGACGTCATACTTAACTCCAAATTATACACAAGAAACTAAAATTAAAAACGATACAAGACTAACAAAGGCCAGAGGCTCCTGACTTGGGACAGGCGCATAAATGCGGCGGGGTTAAACATGTTTTTTGAGATCTCAACCCTCCCCCTATACCTCTAGCCAATATAGAAAAAACAAACGTACAACAGTACGCACAGTAAAACTCAGTTTAAGAGAAGTCCGAGTCCGATGTCAGAATAGGAAACAAAAGAAAATACGTTTTCATTGACGAATACCTGATTCGAGACTTTATAAAACTTGAAGGAGAAAAGGGGAGGCATTCCAACTTCTGACTTATCTCAGCTACAGATATTAGGAGCTTAACATTACGAATTTGTATGTCTACAATCTAATTTAATATCAAAATTTAAAACTTTAAACATATTCCTTATCTTTCAGATGTATATTTTCAACAGTCAAAATGTGTTTGTTCAACAACACGATGACGGTTATACATAAATGTGATTCTGATATTCGTAGATTTCATTGCGCAAATGAAACAGAACTCGATCAAAACTTTTAATGTAGACAACTTATTTAAAACCCTACTTATAGAATCATCAACATGTATAATTTTACATAAAACAACAATTCTTTAGTTTAGGAAATTTGTCTTAATATAAAGGATCATTCGTTGTATTCATATCAGGATTTTTACCTAGATATTGATACGTAACCTTATAACACACAATTTGTGCCTGAAACACATACACACACATTTACAAAAAAACAAAAACACATCGCGAAAATAAAGTTTATACACTAACCTGGTACATGTACACGATGTACATTAATTTGACCACTGGCAGTGGTGCTGAAGACAAATAGAATACCAAAACTGCACAGTATTAATCCACTCAATTTTAACATCGTCTTGTCGTTTATATATTCAAAGTGACACTGCGACTGTGTATTTATAGTTTATCTTTTATACATGTTCCAAATGATATAATAATAAAGGAAATTTCGTTCTAAGAAGTGTATTTGGTTGTCAGGTATCAATAATTTTAGGGGAAAACCCCTATTATAAAACATCGTTTTAAACAAGGTAAAAAGGTAACTTGAAATATATTTGCTAATAAAATGATAATCTTAGTGACATTGTTGGCATGTTGTAACCGTAGTCCCGGTGAATGCCATAATAAATACTTGTAAATTACATAAAAAGATGTAAGTGCTAATTTGTAATGTGTCTACGTGTACATGTAATAATAAATTTTGGACATGTTTACTTAATATGGTTTCTTCGCAAGCTAATTTTCTTTCACCTTCAAAATTTATTCTATTGATAAGTATTACATTAAAAGAATTTTCACTTATCATCTATATATGTTTATTATAATATAAAAAACACATTCACAAAGTTTTAAATTTATATTATCTCTAATAACGGAGAAAATCGGATATTTGTTTGTTTTTTTGGGTTTTTTTTGGTTGACATACGTCATCGGGTTGTGATGTCTTAGCCCGATTTTGAATGCTGGGTAGGAAATCAGTTAAAGTCTTAATCGCATGACGACTTTTTTCCGTAATTAAAAGCGCGCAGATGACCGTTTTTCGTAGCTAAAAACCACAAAATAAGAATGAAAGAAAATGAACACGTGTAATATTTTGCCATGATTAAATAAAAAATCCTATGGTTTCGGTTTATATTCGATTTGATTTTATTCATAATTAGTTGCATTTTTTTCCGGAAATATTTACTGATATTGAACTGAACATGTTCTTCTTTTTTTATTTACCTTAATAATTTCAACATCCATTTCAGCGCAAAGTCTTTGTGAATAGAATGTGTCTGTTTTTACATTGGAAAATATCTAAATAGATTTTTACTCCAATAAATCTTTAGTTGCAATCATTTTGATTTTTATGAATATCATTCATTACACCAGAAATGTCATTCATATCAAGTTGTAGTAAAATGGACTACATGTATATGAGTTTAGTAATGTCTAGTATATCACTGTCGGATTCAAGACAGTACTTCGTGGTTTAATGATATCACGTGGTTCTTTGACCCGGGATGCCGTCAAGATGGCTACATGTAGAGAATTGATATTTTCAATTTAAAATCTACGGTGGTATCTGATCTAGGAGAATAAAACGTTATTTTTTATGAATTTGTGCTTTTTTATACGCAATGAACATAATATCTTTTAAAGTTACCCTTGAAGAATATAAAAAGAGGACACATTACAATCATGAATTCATCGTTAGCCTTAACACAACACAATGTTCAGACTAACTAGAAGCATTTTTTTCGATGCGTTTCTGATATTTTTCTTCCACACAGAAGTGTCTGGCAGAGGTACGTTTATTTTTTCAGCTATTCTTACTAAAAATCAAATCATGAAATGTCGTCTATTAGATTAATTCTGTTCATGTTAATTCATTTGAACGCCAAAAAAGGCAAACTGAATTACCGACCCAAATTAAAGTGTACATCTTCCAATCAGTAACCAATATTTACAATTGGTTCTTTTTTATATCATCAAAGAAAAGCATTACTCTGTGTATATCAATAAAAGTGTTGATAAGATTGGGTCAAAGGATCGTCTTTTATAATAAGATGACATGCCGACGACAGAAATTCAGCAATAAACAGCGAACAAGTCGGATTTCTAGAACTTTGAAAAGGAGTAAGAAAATTTGTCTCATTACTCATATAGGACGGAACTTTCAATTTTCAAAGCAGACAAGAGAGTTTTTCCTTTTTTTTTTTTTTTTTGGTCTTTTGTGTCATATCTTTAGTCAAATCAACAGAATAGTAAACAAATTTCCGAATAGGAACCCTATGACATTGCTACATTAAGTTTTTATGTTTTGTTTTGAAATAAATATAAGTAAGATAAAAGACACTAAGTATAATTTATTGAAAGAAGAAGTTTATAAAAAATAGGGAATTTGGTGCAATTTGCGATGCGACAAATATCAAACAAAGTCCAAAAAAAAAACAAAAATTATAATAGTGTTTATGTTTTTTTTTCGTGTTGTATTTATTTTCGCAGTAACTTTTATTTCGCGAAATTAAATACCAGCGAATACAAATGCAGCTCACATGCATATCAAAACTGTTGTATAAATATCACCGATTTTATTACTGCATGTTTACCTTGTTTACATAATATAAAATCAATCGAACAGTGGAACTGTTAAAACAACACCGGTAATCCATACAGAAAACCAATCAAGGATTACGGAACAAAAGGAAATACATAATGTCCAATGCCAAATATTATAGTTTTATTGTGTAACTAACAATAACATGTAAATCGGATATCAACCCTTATGTAACATATCACTATTGTGATGATTGAATAATCTTTGTTTATTTTTTTCATATAATTGCAAAACAAATATGAAGTCTTAAATAATCACAAATTTAAGCATCCTTTAAATATATTAAGTCCGTTATTTTTATCATATTTTAGAAAATACATGCGAAATCAAAGGTAATACCAAATTCGCGAAAATAAGTACATATACAGTGATAGCAAGTCACCATACCTGATAAAGATTCAACAATCAGAAAACTTAATATTTAGTTAGCCAGTAGCAAACCAAATATCATTTACATAGCATATTGATTTATCAGCATAACCAATACAGTTTGGTACGTTATAGAAAACGAAAATCGATTTAAAAGCTAAACACGAATTCGATTCTAGCTGATAACATTTATTTATTGCAATCATTGTATATCAGACGGTGTTGGACGACACCCTTACGACTACAGGGTCCTGGCTTATGAAAAGGAACGGATGTGTGAGCGCTCAAGCTTCACCCGAACCTGGACCAGTGGTTTAACTGCAGAACCTCAAACAAATGATAAAAACCAGTTTATTTTATTCTATTTCCTTTCAAATTTAGCCCTTCAATGGAAAGCCGAAATTCATTTACGTGTGCACACATTTTGTTAATTTACTTATTCATTAAAAGTTTGAATACAGTATTTATCATAAGTTGGTAATAGCCTTTTGCAGTAATAAAACCGGTCATACTGCTGAAAACTTTCCAAAATCAGTGCATATGAATAAATAATGATTAGTTCAATATATAAAAACTACCTATTTGTTCTTCATAATATTGATAGAATAACAATTGCCAGCTTACAGTTCGGATAAGTAGTACCCTAGAACAGTTTAAGGAAAGTTAACCTAAAGATTCTGACACTTCGAAACAAAGAAGAGTTTTGAACTGATCTGACTATTAATTATCTTTTTAAGAATATCGTTGTCAGATGATTTACTCAGTGTAATCAAATTTTTAGAATAATTATTATTTACGTTATTAATTTTTGTTTTATTCTTTTACGAACTGTTGTTTCAAAGTAATCTAGCTTATACCATAATTCACCAAATAATACTAAACTACACATGCGTTCTTACATCAGATTGTGTTGTTGCATAATGGTCCGTTAGGTAAAATCAGGTATACAATGATTCACCGATCAAAAATATATTTAATATGCATATTTTACTTGTAATTATAGTTAAGCTATAGAATTGTCGTATACTACTCACTTAACTATAACTAATATATACCCTTTATCTTTGCAAATATTGTAAAATATGAAGAACTGCATTTTAGCAACTAAGAATTGGAAATCTGTTTTGTTTTATTTATCAGGAACGTTTTTGTCACAATAGTTAAACAATATTATATTTAAAAAAAAACTGTGTCATATCCTAAGTCTAAGCAATCAAAATTCATGTACAAGTCACATTGCTTATTGTAGTTCATGTCAATATGTACGCACTTAATACATTTATTCGACAGACTATACAATGAAATGTCCATCTGATCCAACGGATAGAGTCAGCCACTGGGCTGACATGTGTGGACAAACTGGTTGTAAAAACGAATATATTTGCTATTCTTTTGGCTGTGGTAAAGATTGCAGAAAGGGGAATTTGGGTTCATAATTAAAGTAACAATTACCTACATATGTGGTAAGATATTGTTATACCTGACATTCCCGTATATCAATAATAAAATCCAACTCAACGATAGCAACTAAGGTACATGTATAAAGTAACATACAGGTGCCTCTGCAATATTTTAAGCTCTAAATAGTCAATAGTCTATTTAACATGTTTAAGGTGTACGTACATTATCAGAAACAATGAGTGCATGGTTCATAACCTTTAAAGCGTTATTTCTGGCCTAGTATTATGTGGTATACATCGCGCTTGGCCCAGTACACTCCAATATGTAGTTTCAATTGTGTTTAACGTACTTTGTGAAAATTTCCTCTGATGAGTTTATGTGAACTAGTACCCTTGCATAAACAATCAAGGATTTTTTTTATCCATATTGGATGTTTAAATTTATCTTTTTCTTCTCCTGGAGCTGGATTGCTGTCTCATTTAAATTTAACCCACATCTCATGTTGTTCATTTGTTTACTTTTAAAAGATTATCGCAAGAGTAAAAAAGCAAACATTGATTTAAACAAAATAACTCATATTAAAAAGCATATACTTTTTTTAAAATTCAAAAGTCAGATAGAAATGATGAAGCATGAGCAACTAGTTAAATCCTTATTAAAGTTGTTGCAATGCCTGGAGTGTAGCCTTTCTTGAAAAAGTAGCGCTTATTGTTTTCAAGCATTTTAAAATCCATTGTGTGTACATTTAAGCCGGCTGGTTTGTTTGAAAATCCAATAAACTCACAAACTACTGGCTAAATAATTCTCATAAGAACCTTACATTCCGTAGGCAGTTATGTTTATATAAGAGAAACGTATGATTCTGTATTTTTCGAAATGCGATTGACGGAAAGTATCGGTACTCACAACTTACACCAACTAAGACAGGTAAAGTGAAGGGGATTGTCTTGAGATGAAAAAAAAAGCACTAAATAATTAGCATTTCAAGGTAAAATTTGAAGATAACTGTTAAACCATATTGTACACAGCGATTTATTTAAATTAATAAAGATTGTT